AGGGAAAAATAAGGAGGTGGAGGCAAAGGCATGGGTAAATGTGAAAACACAAGAGGTATTGAATGAAGGAGGTAGACTGAAACAGAAGGCTTTTCCCTCCAGTGTAAATAGAAACTAATCAATGTTGTTACTGACATTTTTTTGCATACTCCTGGACTGTGGGGGGAAAAAACGTATATCAAAGTGCTTTCCAAAATAGTTATCTGGTGGTCAATGTTGTCACATTCTTCATAGTAAGAGAAACTGAGGTGGGTAGCAAGGCATTCTTACCTACTAAGTAATTGACCTGAGGCTTTCCTTCTTTTCCACCAATTCAGACCACCTTCACTGTAATTAATGCAAGAGCTTGTTAAATGCCATGAGACAGAGAGCATCTACCTTACCTTACTCTTGGATTAACTAAAGAGGTATGGGCTTGAAGTAAGGGAAGCCTGAGGCTACCACTAAAAATGGAATCCAGAGTGGCCTTGGGATGGCCTAGAAGGAAGGTGGGTTCTTTTGGGGGCAAGGACTACTGTTAAAGCTGGACCAGATCTGCTATGGAAAAAAAGCCCACTGTCCAACTAACTAATTCACTAACTCTCAAGGCTAGCTAGAGCCAAAGCAGACTCAAGGGTTTGGAAATAGCATCATTCTCTTAGTTGTTCCTCTTATATTTCACACTGCCACATTTCATACTGAGTTCTTTCCTCTCTTAGCCTTGTCTCCTCACCACTTAGAATGGGTGCTCCCCTGTAAATACTGCAAGGGCTATTTTGTCACTTTAGTTTTAAAACTGTAATACTAAAAACTTCATCAGTTCAACAAGTGGTGGGGCATATGATTTTGATGCTAACGTCAAAGTGTTCAAAAAGTCTCTAGAGAAAGAAAGAGAAGTCAAGTGGAAATAATAATAGGAAAGGAAGGTTTTAGGAATATAGTTGCCAAGGAAAAATAAAGAATCTCAGAAGATGCATTAATGGATGACAAATCTCAGAGGGACTTTAAGGGATCAGGCATCAGCTCAAGCTCTGAAACAAAATAGAAAAGCAGAAACAGAAACATAAAGCGAGAAAGATGGGAGATACGTAGCTAGATATATGAAATGCATGCATGCATACACACATACAGATGTAATTCTTGTCTCCTATCCAAAGACAGAAAAAAAAAATTTTCAGCTAGATATATTTATAGAAAGAGTTAGTTAAAAATACATGGACTCTAATATTTACCCAATTCACTATTTTTCAAGTAATTTTAAGTTGGGAAAAGTTTAGTTTACTCATTTACAAAATAGGAATAACTAGCAGTATCAACTTCATTGTGTCATTAAGAGTATTAAGTCAGTTAATCTGTGTAGAATGTTCAGTGTTATGCCTGGCACATAGTAACCACACCATATACTCTAGCAAATGTTATTTTTGGAGTAAATTAATTCAAATATTTCTTGAGTGCCTAGTATATGCCAGCACTCCACCAGATAGAATAAGGCCGGGTCTTGCTTTTAAGGTATTTAAAAGAAAATGAGTGAGATATTGTAAAATAATAATTATAATGTAATAGTGAGTAAGGAACTGTAAATAAATCATTATAACATAACCCAAAATAGGGATCTTGAAGGTAGTAGCAATTTCTTTCTGAAGGATTAAGGAAAATAATTTGTGAGCTAGATCTATATAAATAGGACTTAGGTAACTAAAAGGAGGGAGGAGATTAAAAAAAAAAGAGCTAGCGTAGAAAAAGTAAACATAATCTGTGTCCTGGAAGACAGAGAGTATTTAGGAAAATTGCAAAATGTCTGACGTTTTTGACGTGTAGGCAGTGGAAAGGTGATGAGCAGACTACAGAATCTGCATTTTATTCTTTAGGCATGAGGAGAGCATTTGAGTAGGTCTGTGTTTTAGGTCAGCAGTAAGGAAAACAGTCTGAAGGAGAAGAGTACTTAGGAGGGAGACGTCCAAAGAAGCCTAGGCTAACCTCATAATCATTCACTTATATTTATGGTGTTCCTACACAGTTTAAAGTAATGGGGATTCAGCAATGAATTAGACAGGCAAGGCCCCTACCCTCATAGAGTGTTATATATTCTACTAGGAAGAGACAGACAACAAAAAAAGCAAACAAGACTAACAAACAATATTGTGAGGAGTATGAAGAAGAAATAAAAACAGGATGTTATGAAATAGACTAATGTGGGTGGGAAGGGCTTTTAATAATGAAGTCAGGGAAAGCCTGTATGAGAGGAAAACGGAAACAGAGAGGAAGGAGACAGACATCTCTGATATGGAGGTGGAGATGGGGGAAATCCTTGAAATTGTATTCAACTGGTATATACTCTATATGCATCTTTCTGAGAAGGTACTCAAAGCAACAGGAGATTCCTTCCGCCCAAACGTTAAGAACCAGTGCATTTAGATAATTAACAAAACGTTTTGGGGGTTGAACCTAGAGCCGAGTGTTCAACCCAGCAGAATGCAATAGTATCCATCAGCAAAGGATTACAAAAATTTCTTTCTCAAATGTCGATACTTTATTATAAAGAATACATCTGACACTTTTAGTATTTATTTACTTACACATACAAATATATTGGTCACAAGTGTGTAAATATTCACTTACATATTTACTTACTATACACGCATATAATAATGCATATACTTATATTCTATATGTGTATAGAATGTACATGTATTCTTTCCTCTCCTCCCCTCACTCTACACACTTATTTCATGGAACCGAAAGTAAGAGATATAAATTTGGAGGACAAAATTGGCCTCCCACGACCTAAATGTATCCTAGACAGAAAAAAATCAGCTTTTGTTCTTCCTATTGTAATACCAATGAGTGACCCGGAACTGACCAAAGGTGGGCTTGCTCTCAGCAGGGATACCTTCCTTCTTCCATTTTGAGTATTTACTATATTACATATTATAAGCATAGATAGAACTTTACATATATCCATGCATATACATAGATTTAGGTTTGTCTAGCTTAGTACTGGGCACAGCTCCAAGCTTTAAGTGAACAAATTATGGGGTGGCGGCCGGCGGGTGCCAAGGGCCTCCAGGCTGCCGCGCGGGGCCCTTCAGTGAGTCGTCCGGGGTCAAGGTCAGGGCCAGGGCGCCGGAAGGCCCGGACTGGGT